TTTAAGTTTTTCTAAATTAATTCGAATACGATTAAGTATAATATAAACTTGTATACTATTTTAATTAAATGGTTCAAAAATGTAGACTAAAAAAATACTCCATATTTAATTTATCTTATGAAGGGATGAAAGAGATAAAATAAACAAGTGAAGATAAGGAAAAATGCTACTAATGAGAAAACCTGAAACCGTATGATTTTCAAGCATCAAATTTGGAGTTCAACCAACTGAACTACTTAAACTATTAGCAATTTAAACATAAATATAGGATTTATATAACATTTAATGCTATATATGTATATATACATACATATATATAAAGGGGTGGGGTGGGGTGGGGTGGGAAGGGGCAGCTGCCCCCATAGTGGCTCCGTCCAATAATATGATCAGCTCTGTTTGGCAAACCTAGCTGAAAAGCTATAAGCTAGGAGCAGAAAACTGAAAAGCTATAAGCTCGGAGCTGAAAACTGAAGAGCTGTTAAGCTAGCTGTTATGATTGAAAGTGTTTGGTAAAATTAGCTTTTTGATAATCTCATAAATGTAAAAAGACTAAAAAGGACATCTTCATAAAATTTAAATTAGTTTTTTACATATTAAAATTTAACATTTTGTCTTTAAAAAAAAATTAACATTTTGAAATAAAACTATTAGCATAATCATGATCTAGCATCTCATAATGAAGTAGCAATATTATTGCAAATCTCATAATAATAATAATAATAATAATAATAATAATAATAATAATAATAATAATAATATTTGGGGTGAAAGTTGCAGATAAAGGAGAAGGAAAAAGGGTTTTAATTGGGAAGGATAAATTATGTCATTTCTTTAAAATAATAAGGATAAAGATAGAAAAAAAGTTAGGAAGCTATGAGCTTATTTTGAAACACTACCTTGATTCTGTTTGGCAGAGCTTATTTAGGAGCTTATAGCTTATTTTAAGCTATAAATAAGCTCCTAAATAAGCTCTGTCAAACAGAGCCGATGTCTCAAAATTTTATAAGGTGGTATCAAGAGATGGCATGAGATTTTAGGCCTATAAATAGCTGCCTCCCATTCACTTGGATTTGCACATCCTATCCAACTAAGCAGAAAGAAAGCAAATAAAAATGGCAGGAGGATCCGTGATTAGCAAGACAATCTTTATAGCTCTCTTCTTCTGCTTTCTTCTCATTGCATCCTTTGGTGGGTATACTTTATATATTCCCTTTCTGATCCGATCCGCCTGCACTTTCTTCTTTTTCATGATTATTTCATGCTATATATAACTATAAGGCTTTATATATATTAGAAGTCTTGAGATCAATTCTTGTCCCGTACGTTCTATATTATGTAAAAAGTATTTATATATATTTTGTTTTACGTATGCCATCGCAGGTGTGGAAACTGCTGAAGCACAGAAAGGAGGTGGTGGTGGCGGCGGCAAGGTAAAGTACTGTGCAAAGCCGACGAGAGCGTGTTGTAAGATGTGCAGTAAGCCGATGTGCAATTCTTGGTGCAAGAGAATGGAAAAGGCTCACCATGGAGATTGCAGAAGGGGCACTTGCTATTGCTACAAAAAATGTTGAAAAACTCTATAAATCTTAGCATGGTGCATATACATATTATATACCTAAATAAGATGCTGCATATATATATATATATATATATATATATAAATGCTATTATCGTAGCCACTTACTGCGGCAGCTAGACACCATTGCTATCACTATAATCTATCTATGTGTGCTAATTATTAATTGTTCAGTTTAGTATTAAACTTTTTTGTTTTTGGTGTGTATCTCATGGTTTCCCAATATAAGTATAATACGTACAAGAATAAAAACTTGTTTGGGTTCTATTGGTAAAGTTGCCTCTACCAATCTCCCCTTTCAGAGTTTTGAGACAGCAATCATTATACATGGATCATGATCCAGGTGGAACATAAGATACATTTTTAATATATATATTAAATGAAAATTATTAACACATTGAATATTCATTTTTTTAAGAGTACATTATTTGTATACTGAAAATTTATTATTTGTATTTAGGGCCATAGGGGCTCAGGAGACCTATTTTTATTTGTAGAATGTACATATTTACTACTAGTAATGCACAACTATACGTTTACTCTAAAAGGGTACAAATATGTACAACATTTTTGTAAGTGAACACCTTAAACCCCTAAACCATCAACTCTAAACCCTAACCACTAAACCTCACAAAATTGATCACGCAGTGGACAACATCCGATCCCAACGTCCTGCGGTGCACCACAGTAAACACATCAATTCACATCCCCACATTCTATGATGCATCAACTCCCGCCAAATACCTCCCAGCGACAAAAATAAAAAATAAAAAAAAATAAATAAATAAATAAATAAAAATCCCAAATGCATAACCTCATGCCAATACCTTAATGCCCTCCCATCAATGCACAACCCATAGTCCTAAAATGCACCGCACCTAGTGTCGCAATACACAACTTAATGGCCTACAATGCACCGCCCTTTTAAAATCACAAAATCATCAACAAACCTAATCAAAAAGGCATACTCCAACGAACTGAAAAAAAAAAAAAAAAAAATCATGAAGCCATGCCAAACAATCACCACCGCCGTTGAAAATCACCAAAACAAGAACAAAGGAAAAAAAATAAAAATAAAAAATCCCTAAAATCTTTGTTATAATTCCCTAAAATCACGCAACATAATATATAAGGAAACTACGTTAAAAACTACATACCTAAATGCCCTAACGCAATAAACAAAGAAAAAGTTGAAATAAACCTCTTAAATCCTATCCATCAGATTTTGTCAAATGAAGAGTCCATATTAGCCCACAAATTCTCACTTAGGGAATGATTCTAGAATTACACACACATATATATGCTTGCGGCGCCCTGTTCCAGTGCGACCGTGCGACTTGCACCATCATGTATGCACATATCCACCATACCTTGTTGCATATTTTAGCACATGGTGGTACTATACATTTATGCATACATAGTAACATAGTAGTGCAAGACCACACAATCGCTCGAAAAGCCGTGGTCACACCAAATCTCGACCCTCTCTCTCTCTCTCTCTCTCTCTCTCTCTATATATATATATATATATATATATATATATATATATATATATATATATATATATTAATATTATCGATAATTTTTTAATTCGAGCCGATTCAATTAATTCTATCACATATACATCCATTGGTGTTAGAAAAATAAAGAATAAAAACTATTCATTCATTTTTTTGAATAAATTAAAGCTATGTCATATCGGTAAAAAGCAAAAAAAAAATAATAATAATAATAAATAAATAAAATAAAATAAAATAAAATATTGAAATACATGTATTACTTGATCAATATAAATGTATGCATACTTCACCGGGCGGCTGCGTGTTGCATGATCTGCCAACTTGCTGTTAGTGCAACTGTGCAAAGTAAATTAATGAGAAATACTTAGCTAAGATGGCGTTTTCAGATTTTCATGATGGAAGCATACTAATGACAGTTTAACCAAAGAAATTAAATTCATAATTGCCATTTGATCCAATCAGAGATTAATGTGTCTGCTGGCTGCTGCATAAATGCATGCAGCTTAGCTTAACAAATGGTTAATTCAATTTCCACGTAATCATCGGCTCGAACATCATTTTCCCCGGCCCCCAAAAAAACAAAAAATCACGTAACACTATTGGAAAGATTCAATGCGGTTAAACAAATAAATATTTTTTTTAAAAGGAGCAGTTGATTCAACAGCCACGACCAACATACTAAATTAACCATCAAACCTAGTCATGGTCAAATGAATTTATGGGATTTAAATGGGGAATGGGTATGCCTGTCGTACATGCTGTGTATTACCAATCTTATACCATGTACCAGGATTCACACTGAACTATATGGACTCTGGTTCATGTGTTTGTGTTATAACTTTTTGTATCTTGCATTATAAAATTTTGTATCTTATGTCATTGTGTTGTGCTGGTATAAACTTATGTCATTGTGTTGTGAAATTTTTTTGCCTATGAACAAATTTATGTACCTAAATCAGATTTGAAAAATAAGTAAATATATGACATGTGTATATGTCTTGTGTTATGATTTTTTGTGTCTTGTGTTATGAAATTATGTATTCTGTACCTTATAAGTATAAATTCTTTACCTCATCTTTTCAATATCAACTAGGTATATAATACTAAGTTACGCTATGTATCCTGTATTGTGATTTTTGTATTTTATGTTATGAAATTTTATAGCTTACAAGTATGAATACTGTATTTCGTTGCTTGTTTCAATCCACAATAATACTATGTGGGCCTTGGTCCATAATAGAAATTGACGTATATTACGACACATTATGTTGTGCATCCGTATGCACCATGCATGGTGCATACGGATGCAAAAACGACGTCGTTTTATTAGAAACGCGCGTATCCCCTTAAAAAAAAAATTTCATGTTCGATTCCCAGCAACAACATATGAACTAAAATTTCAGAATCGATGAACTATAATTCATAATCGATGAACTATAATTTCATAATCGATGAACTAAAATTCCAGAATCTAATCTATGAACTAAAAATTCCAGAATCTATGAACTAAAATTTCAGAATCGATGAACTACAATTCCAGAATCGATGAACTATAATTCCAAAATCAATGAACTAAAATTTCATAATCTATGAACTAAAATTCCAGAATGAATGAACAACATAATGTTGTTGCTGGGAATCAAACCTAATTTTTTTTTTTTAAGGGGAGACGCACGTTTTTAATAAAAACGACGTCGTTTTTGCATCCGTATGCACCATGCATGGTGCATACGGATGCACAGCATAACTACTCGTATATTACGGAACATCAAATTTTAAAATAATGGACATTGTCCCCTGCATTTTTGGTTCTAAAAGTCTATAACGATAATGAAAGAGATGGGATTTTAGGCCTATAAATACCTGCCTCCCATTCACTTGTATTTGCACATCCCATCCAACTAGACATATATATTTCAAACAGAAAGAAAGAAAAATGGCAAGATCCGTGATTAGCAAAACAATCTTTATAGCCCTCTTCTTCTGCTTCCTTCTCATTGCATCCTTTGGTGGGTTCACTTAATTCATATATGCCCTCTTTCATCTCTTTTTTTTTTTTTTTTTCCTGATTATTTCATGCTATATATATAAGCTAAGTATAATACTTTATATTAGTTTTCGAGATTGATTCTCGTTCTGTTCAATAGCATGTATGAATATATTAAGAATGGATCTGGACCAAAGCAAATCAACCCAGGTAAGGTCGGTCCAGGGTGGACGAGGCTGACCACGAGGTTGGCCATGGCTCGGGCTCAACCACCATGGTTGGCTACGGCATTGGACTGATTGGAGACGGAGGTGACGAAGAGGCTCGACTGGCAAGGTCGACCTTTAGGGTCAGCCTTCGTGGTCGGCCTCCATGGTCATTCCTCGAGGTCGGCCTTTGTAGTCAGTCCCCGAGGTCGACCTCTGAGAGCAGTTGGACGATGCCCTATTCTTTGGGTCACACTATCTTCGAAAGTTTGGTTAGGATTACTATTTTAGATAAGCATCCTTTGTCCTCATTTAGGACATCTCCATCTTCATCCTCGAGTTGTCTTTAACATTACCAATTCTTGTAATATCACTACAAGAATTCCTAATACAAGACTTTTGTCTCCCTAAGTTCCATACTTTGTCTTTATTTATTTATATTAGTTAATTCAAACGAGTTAATTAATTCCATCAGTACGTAAGAAACACTTATATATTTAATTTTCTTTCACGTATGCCATGGCAGGTGTGCAAACTGCGGAAGCACAGAGAGGAGGTGGTGGTGGCCGCGGCGGGGGCCGTGGTGGTGGCGGTGGTGGTGGTGGTGGCGGCGGCGGCAAGGGCAAGTTATGCGGAAAGCCGGCGAGAGGGTGGAGTGGTAAGTGCAGTAAGCCGAGGTGCAATTCTTGGTGCAAGAGCAGGGAAAGGGCTGAGCGTGGAGACTGTAAAAGGACTTGCTATTGCTACAAGAAATGCTGAAAAACTATATATATCCTATATCTATCTTGGCATGGTGCATATATATTATATACCTAAATAAGATGCTGCATGTATAAATAAATGCTATTATAGTAGCTACTACTGCGGCAGGCACCATTGCTATTATCACTATCATCTATCTGTGTGCTAATTATTATTCTGTTTAATATTAAACTTTTTTGTTTTTGGTGTGCATCTCATTGTACTGTTTTCTTATTATAAATATAATACGTATGGGAATAAAAACTTGTTTGGGTTCTACATTTCTATTTGTAAAGTTACCTCTATTTTTACTTCATATATAGTGCAGCTTCAATATTAATGTAGCTATATGAAGCACGTACAGGTAGTTTGTGCAATAACGTACTAGAAACTAAGCACAAAGAAATCAACCAGAATTGAGCAACTCCAGCCGGTGGCGGACTCAGAATTTTTTTTTCACTGGGGGCGAAACATTAAAACGAAAAGGATATAGCTTAAAAAAGATGAAAAAGTTAAGACGTTAGCCATAAATATTGTTAGATATGAGGGCAAAATAAAAAAAAATATTTATAACAAAATATGAAACATAATTAATTTGATAAAATAATTCTAATAGAAACCACATTATAAATTAAACATCTTATTATGAATAGAAAATACATTATAAATTACACATTGAAGTTAGCCATAAATATTGTTAGATATGAGCTCAAAATAAAAAAAAAAATATTTATAACAAAATATAAAACATAATTAATTTGATAAAATAATTTTAATAGAAAAACACATTATAAATTACACATTTTATTATTGATATAAAACATATATTTTGAAATGCTAACTATTTTGCCTATAACCGCCACTGTTATTCAAATATCATGTTTGTTTTGACCGTCACTGTTATTCAAATAGCAACCATAAAATATGGTTTCAAGTGATAGGAAAAAATCAAAACCCTAACCTTCCTTCTTAACATTAGCTGTTTTATTTTACTTAATTATACTAAACCTTGTACTATATATACATACATATATACATACAAGGATTATATATGGGGTGGGGATGGGGTGAATGGGGGCAACTGCCCCCACTGTAGGTCAGCCCCTGACTCCAGCAAAGTTAGTTGGCGAGTTAATTTGGTAAGTAACACAACAATCAAAGAAAATCAACAAAAAGCTAAATAATTCAATAATAACAAAGATATATGACTTAAACTAGGGAACATTAGATGCATAACAAGATTGTGGGAAAACCAACTAACCAAGGGATTAAGGTGTGCCTGGGAGAGTGTTTTGACTTTTGACAAAATAAAATACTCTCATTTTCTTGAAAATGACTTTCCCTCTTTTTTGGGGAGTCATTTTTCAATTTTCACACCACTACTATCACTACCACCATTTATATTATTATTATAAATGTTGTTATATTCCAAACAAAACAATTAAAATGTTTAATTATACAATTATGTTCATTTTTTGAAAAACGAACCAAACATACCATATGATGAATAATGAGCATAATGTATAATTAAACATTTAAACAAACAATTACACCAACATAAAGAAATACTAAAATCAAAATAATATGAACCAATAAAGTTAGGCACCTAATGGAACTAAAAAATATTGGTGTAATTGTTTGTTGAAATGAATGGTTCATATTATTTTGACTAGTTTTTCACACTCATTGCGGGAATGAGATAATGCCCAATGATTATTATACTAAATCAAAATAATATGAACCATTCATTTAAACAAACAATTACACCAACATTTTTTTGTTACCGTAAAGAGCCTAACTTTATTAGCTCTTATTAGATTTGTGTATTTGTAGATAGATTTTAGTATTTTTTATGATTTTCCTTCTTTATCCTCTATTATATTATTTTCTTCCCTTAAATAACTCCGGATTCCGTTAGTTTAAACTTTAGTAACGGAATATTTCGTTAACTATTTATTATTCTTAACTTACTCAAAGAGCGTATTCAAATAATCCAAAAAATTGAAGCAGAAAACTACCCCCGTAATATTTATGGTTTACATCACAGTTGTTAATTCATTTTAAAGATAAATCATATCTCTTTATTAGGATGATTTAAAATGTATTAATTTTTACTACCTTATCTAATTTTATTTATTAAATAAACTAGGAATTTATCTATACACAAGAACTCATTCAACAATAATGGTACCAAAAGTAACTCGAACAGAACACCTAAAGGACTAGTATGTGCTGATAATAATATGTAAATAGTAACTAGGTCATTATCTTATGTAGCTACATTTAAAACTCATTATTAAAAAAATCAATTTAGGCAATAAAACATAGTGACACACTTGATGCATCGAAAGATGCCGATACTACAACAATGCTACAATCAATCTTGCAAATTCAAAAAATAAAGAAATTTCAAAAATAGCCCCCGCTGCAATATTCATTGATCTTGTATATAAAATACTTATTGTGCATCCTTTAAATATATTAGAACTAATATAAATTTACAATTCATTTCATTTTTTAGACTCAACCTGTATGGATTAAAGGCAAAATCAGCATCGACCTCGACAACAAAAACACTTAGTATTCGAACTACCTGTACAGTCATTGTTGTTACTATTGATAAGTAATTGTCTATATTTTCTCCTTTTCACTAAGTCATTTTGCTCATACATTATTCCAAATTTCATTAGATTAGGATTAATTTGTGTTATTTTGCAAGGAATTTGGTTTGAAAAGCTTTGCAAGCAAAAATGAGTACTTCCATGGACTTTGGTGGTCATGGGAGTCAAAAGGAGCATTTTGGATACATTGGAGTCAATGGGAGCCAAGGAGAAGCTAAGATGATGGCTAAAACACTTCCAAGGGACCCTAAGAGCGGTGTTTTCAATGGTGTTTGTCATTTGGGCAAACCAAAACAAAAGAGGAGCAAAAGATCAATGCATTGCAATTTTTGCTCATTTCGACCACTGTTCGGTAGTTTGACTATATCTCAGCCTAGGAGTGTTGAAATGAAGTGATTCTTGTGTCATTGGAAAGAAGACTCAAAGGGATACAATTCTTATAAAAACATGAAAGCCTAAAAAGGAAGCTACAGGAGTCAAAATCGTCCTTGAAGTTGAAGTTTCAAACTTACAATATAATCTAAAACTGACCACTGTTTGATTTTTGGACCATATCTTGACCTAAGAATGTTCAAATAAAGTGATTTTTGCACCATTGGAAAGAAGAATGGAAGGGCTACAACTTTCATGAAGACCATAGTTCTAAATTCTGACGTTTTGAAGGAAAAAAGACACGGCCAAGTGCACGGACGTGGCTGTGGCCGTGTAATTTCTGTGCAAATTTTGCGCTCTACTTTATTTATGCACGAATTTTGTCATTTTTAGCTGGTTTTGGACCTTGTTCCAACCCCAGACATCTCTACTCATTTCCTTCATATTTTTAGGTTAGATTAGACTTAGATTTATGTTTCTTAACACATTTGAAGCTTGTAATCTTGAATTCCAACATTCCAAGATTCCACCATCCATTGTCAATAGAGAAGCTTTCTTTCCCTGATCTCTTTCTTTTGCAAAATTTATGTTTAATGCTTGTGTTTTTGTGTTCTTTATGCTATTTAATCATGAGTAGTTAGTTTATGGACTTGAGTTAGGGTTGTATTTTCTATCTTGATGCTTGATTTGTGATTATTGCAAAAAGGAGAATAACTCTTAAGCTAGGGTTCTTGAGTTTATAAAGGATTTGTGTTTGTATATTGTTAATTCTTGGAGTACAACATTTATTGGCATGTTTGGGAGGAATCTTGGCCGCAATGAGAGTTGGGTCAACATTCCAAGCCACTCTTGCATAAACCTGATTTTTCCTATAAAAAGGAGAAAAAATGGGGGTTTTAGATGCTTTGTGTTCTTGAAGAACTTGAAGTTGATTCACCACGAGAGTGGGGCAATTCTTTGTTCTAATCCTTGTTAATTTGCTCACGTGAGTCACTTATAAACTAAGATTCCTACGTGCATCCCCTCTATTCCTTAGTTGTGTGATTTTCCCCAATCTTTAGGTCGTGATATATATCTAGAAGATAATACTCCCTAGCTTGAGTCCTATTTCTTTATTTCGTGTTTACATCTTGTTAATATGTGTTTGTGTTATTTTGTTTAGTTACCGTAGCCTCAATCTCGTTATGATTTGCTTAGCTTCTTGTTGATTTCCTTATGCTAGTGCCTAGTTTCTTGTGATTGCATATTGCGTGCCATAACCCGGCCCCCAATCCCATGAGGGCGACATTACACACCCGAGCTCACATCTTATTTTTGCTACATCAACTATCAAGTAAACAAGCTATGAAACTAGAACAAAATGTAACTCATGAACCTTCTACAAATATAATAAATATTAATATTTTGTTGAATACTTCCACATGAAAATCAACGACACACATCTGCACATGAAACATGTAAGGGAAAAACTATCACGGAAATATCAACATCAACACACATTTGCAAGATAAAGAATTCATAATACAACTAAGATCCCAGTCATATACCCAGCAAGACCTTCACCAGTAACACAATTGCACACAACACACTACCAATAAAAAAGAAGAGGACAAGTACTAAAGAGGAAGACAATGACAATGCTACCAATTAAGAAGACTTGGAGAGGGCTTCAAACCAAAAGTAGTATTTATTTAAACTATCGTTTTCAAACTAAGCATTTAGACTAGCATTATTACAAAGTTACAAACATTTATTTTTGTGACAATTATAATCAATCTCTCCTATATTATCTTCCATTCATATGCATTCAAAAAAAATCTTCCATTCATATACTTTAAATTACTAATTTAAATAAACAATTTCAAGATTCAATTACCTATGCATGAACATCTCCTATATAATCTTACATTGATATACTTCGAAGTACTTATATCTCATTCGCGCAATACGCGTGAAAAACTAATAATCAAATACCAAGAAATCTAATCAAACCGCACCACATCAATCATGAATATTATGAAGATAAATTTAAGAGAGTATAACATTACTTTTAAACACACTTTGCCCAATCCCAACCATTGCAGCCAGTTAATAATCCAAACTGAAACTAAATATGTCCAAAAATAACCCTCAATATGGCAGTTTAGAATGGTTATCATAATAACATCGAGCCAAAATTGCCACCTTTACACGGCCAACTGGACTGAGGTTCAAAGCACC